GGTCCGGGTGAGTGAGGAAACAAACTTAGTCCCCCGCCTTTTAACATTGAGTGAACCGGCCCTGGTTTTACCAGGCTTACAAATGAAGTAGTGAAGCGTAAGCACTGTTGAAACCTGCTAAAATCAGGAAAAATATGTCAAAATGTTGCAACATTGAGGGTCAATTGCTAAAACGATGTCTGAGACGCGGTCTGATAGCCACGGGCGCGATTTGGCGATTTGGGTTTCCAAGACGAGGTCTGTGGCGCGGCCGCGCCTTGTCGCAGGTCACCTTCCGAACGAAATTTCTTTGGCAACGCCGCGTTCTGGACGACGCAAGCCGCTAGTGTTCTGTTTCTCGGAAGCACCTGCCACTGTTTACTTCAAAACAGCGTGGCTCGTTCCATTTGCTTGTATGCAGTTGAGCAGTGCAGTTGTACTTTGTGGTGTTTTTAACCACATGGAAAGTATCAAGGTGTGACAAATAGAAATACTTCATAAGAGCCATGTATCTTTATGCTAATGCAACGCGTATATATACCCGTTTTTTAATAATACAATCTAAATCGTGGAACTTGTGTAGATGACGCGTTTTGATTCTTCTGAACAATTGCGCATGTCACATATTTGTTCAAGATAACTGGTACTTGTACAAGATAACTATGACACAATAAACAGTTGAAGACAAAAGCTCGCTGGGTGCACTGATGACAACATTTCAAACATGTCTTCACTGGCGCGAAATAGAAACTATTTTCTATTGAAACCGAGAACTTCTGTCCGTGATTTTCTCCAAAAAATCTAAATACATCACCGAAGCAGGTGAAGATCCATCACAGGAGATACCTCGAACTCCTGAGAAAATTAGAACGCAAATTATTGAGAAAGTTGCGAAGGCTCATTGACTGATTGGCATTGCTTCATAAAATCTAGTGGCTGATTACGTAACTAATACCCACATTCCACCCATTTCCATTTCTTCAATCCATCGGTCAAGAAAATGTTGCGCGACTAATATTTTGTTGGCGTGTGTCCAAGTTAGGCATTGTGTATAACTTTCGTTCAAATTTGACCTGGTAATACTATAAATGTAAGAACTTTGTCATACAGTATTGTGTACCTTTAAATAGCTAGCTACAGTAATCTTATCATGACTATATCGTAATGCAACATTTCTGAGGGGTGGGAAAAGGCTAAAAGATGATGCGAAAGCCGATTTGGACAAATACAAAAAGTTGTATTTGTAACCTTGTAAACCTGCCTTCAAGAACAAGGCAGTAGATCATCTTATTAAAATGTGAAAAATCTACTTTTGATACATAGGTATGAATAATATCATAATGGCCATAATTAATGCAAACATATTTTTAAAACATTCCTATTAGATTAAGTAATAAATTTGTATTGATTAGGTGGCTACTTTCTAGAAAACAGAAAAATCAGTGTATTGGTAGAAGAATCATTAGAATTCAGGGAAAAGTTTGAGAGGCTTCTAAAACTAGATAATATTCCATGAAAACAGATATTATTCCATGACAACAACAAACGTTATTTGTTACTCAGTTTTTATTTGGTGAAATGATATCGCTAATTTGAACTTTGTCACATCCAATAAGAGAGCTGACTAATTAGTATCACGATACCTTTAATATTTTCTTTAAGTAGCTTGAAATTCCAAATCTTATACGGAATAAAACTAGTGGTGCTACGGAATGGAACAGACTTTCCCGTATTAGTTTCCTATTTCCTTTGGTCTCGGCTAGCTATTAATAAATACAACAATGTTGCAAAATTGCCGCTAATATAAATGTTAACGACGTTAAAAAAATATTTTTTTAATTATTGAAAAAACTAAAGAATAGAGCAATATGGCGTTTATGTCATCGTATAGAGTAGATTTAACACTATCCCTGCCAAATGTTTAAAGAAAAAATGTGGTACCGTATTTTGAGAAAATTATGTTTTTATAATTTTTTTAAAATTGCACTATTGCGCGAAAACTACTAATATTTTCAAAAAAATATATGACCTTAATGAACTCAGTATAGAGAACCAATTTTATTTGAAGGATATCACTTGAATTTGAATTTCCAAATCTTTAATTTTGTAATTGTAGGAAGACACCTAAAAAAATTCATAACTTTGAAATTTTCGAAAATTCAGAGTTATCTGTGAAAATTGGACCTATGCCACGTATATATGTGTATTTTTCTCTATTCTTACACGAAATTTAAAGAAAAAATTTGGAGCTGTTTTTTTCTAGAAAATTTGGAAATATCCGGAGGGTTTCATGTAAACATTTCGAAGAATGTTTTTCAAAATCTCAAATTTTCGACAGATTGTCAGGGGTTTCTTCAATTTGGAAATATACTACGCATGGTTTAGGCGCTAATGGTGTTGACAGACGTATGTTTTGGGGGGGGTGAAAAAAAGGGGGAAAAAGGGGGGAAAACTACTTTTTCAGTATCAGGAGACCCCAAGTCGTGCATTTCCTTTGAAATCTCGAAATCGATTTTCCGCAGCAATACATAACTTTCCTTTTACGACGTATAATACTCCGTGTACACGTACGTATACGGTAAAAGGAAAATTTGTTCCAGGAAATGGATGGTCTCCCTGATTAATGATTCATTTCAGAAGGAACACATAAGTGGCATGTTTTAATTAATTTGTAATTATGATTTATAGAAAGCTACATTGACAGAAACAAAAGCAGTTAAATAAAACTATATCAAATGGTGTAATTGACATGACAATGAGTTATTGGTTTTATATGTGGAAAAGTATCCATGAATTTCAGTTAGTAATCTTTATGCAGAATTAAAAATAACAGTTTGAGAAAGGTTGATTGAAAGCAAGATATAATTGAAGCCGGAAGTGCACAATTTGTTCTGTAGGAAACAGACGTCTTTGATAGCTGACTATTAAGGATGGCAGAAGAGAATCGTGGAATGAGGTTGAGTAAACCTGCAGCGAGGATGAAGGAGCATGGCGAGAGGAGGACCATCTTGCAGTTCGAGGGGAAGACTGCATGTTGCAACATGTTACTTGCGAAAGCCAGAATGAGAGAAAAAGATATCAATGTAGATTAAATTAGATTTCAGATTTTTAGATATATTTCATTTTAAATCCTTTTTATGTAGATAACTAGAGCCCTCTACAATTTTCTTACATTCTTCAGATAAGATTGAATTGCATTATAAAAGGACATGGAAAATTCTTTGCTGAATTGTTGCTTTAGGACTTTAAATTTACATGAAAAATTATGTTTAGATGTGAATTGTTGATATTAGCATCACGTATTCCTTTAATTTTTTTTCAGGATGAATATAAAATAAATTGATATTTTACTAAATTTTGCAGTCAGTTCCAAGATATAACCGATCAATATCTTCATTGGCAATTGTTGATTGAACATACGACACTTAAATGGTTATAAAAGTATAAGCAAGACATTTTACAAATGACTAAAAAAAGTTTATAACTACATTTTTTCTATTCCTTAATTTTTGAATTTTTCTTTTTAGTTTCCATTCGGGTTCTTATTGTAGTTTTATTTTTCAGGATACTTCAACAAAATCCAAGAAATCGTTTTTCTATCAGAAATAAAATGCTGATTAATTTAATAAAATAAGTTTTATTATGAAAAATGATTTGCAATTATTGTTCTCCTCCACACCATTTCCTGCTCCTCGTCCATGGCATACGTTATTTTTCTCTTCTTCCCCCATGATGTCATTAATTTATTCCTCCCTTCTCCTTACAGCAATATTATGTAGTACAGTAGTTGCCACAATGCATTGCACAGTTTGTGGTTTAGCTCTGAGAGGGATTTGGAGACATTGAAATCTCCTCTTCTAGCTTCCAAAAACCTTCTAAGTAATGTTTCTAACTCGTTTGTGAGTAGCATTGTATCTACCTTCTGCCGCAGTCCTTTCACGAAGAACTGGGGTCAGAGGGTGACGGATACATGGATATACAATGCCAACAAATAAGGTGGACATTATATGCGCCACTTTCAAGCACATCCTTTAATGTTGAGTTTCGGAAGATCCGGCCGTCATGGATGGATCCTGGCCATCTTGCGAAATCATTAGTGATCATCTGATGGTCGCAAACAACCTGAAATATATTAAATATATCTCAAGCATATTCACTAATTAAAGGAACTTTCGAATGCTTGAAAATAATTATGAAATACCTGACAGTTAATGGAGCAGCAACATTACGATTGTACAATCGTTCAGCTAACTCTCTTGCAGGACACCCAATTTTGATGGCTGTGCAGTCAAGAGCACCAATAATCCCTGGAAAGTTGTCTCTGCAAAAATAACAATTTGGGTTACTATCTTATTTCAAAGGCAAATGTGAATTGTGTTATTACAATACCAAGCACAAAGGGGTTACATGAATAGTGTCCAGCGGACTTGATGTTTTCTTATAAAGAATTTTTAATTTAAGCTGAATATAAAATGTATTTTGATTTGCCGTCTTATAGATAATATTTATAATGAAAACTGATGAATGACTTTTGTTAGTATTGAAAATTATTGAAAGCTACATATGTTTTTAATAAGTATCATTGGCATCGGGTGGGGGAGAAGCCCATGAGAGTCCCATAGGAAGCAGATTATAAAATATGAATCACTACAGCATGATCCAATGATTTACATGAACAGTTTATTACGTCTAAGCCTTTGGAAGTTTTATTGGACGTTGCAAATTTAATTAATGAAACATTTAGTCACGTTAAAATAAAAATGGCAAAAAAAGAGTTTTAAGTGAAGCCATGGAAAAAGCAGTATGATAAATATTAGTGGGTTTACTGACTTGCAAAAAAAATTGTTTAAAACTGATCCAACTTACCTGGATTACTGCAAATCCTGCTTTTATTCGTATGTGTTCCTGCGTGGGTGGAAAGTATACATACCTACTCTTCAGGACGAGGCAAATTGCCACCGAAACCGATTTAATTACGCGACACACCTTGCTTTCATGTACATTGACAAGATCGACCAGGACAATGTTAAAGGCATTGATGGCAAAATATCTGTAAAAGACCATTGTTGTTTTTCACAGTTTGGAAAACAACTCAAATAAAAATAAATATTGTTAATACATAAATTAAACAGTACTCACGTAAGTACTATCAGTAATTGCAGGTGAACAAGTAGTCCTGAACCGCGCCTGTCTTTTACGAGGTTTTCACGCAATTCCCTTGTGAGATAAGTTCTGGTTTCATTTGAAAACCGAAACCCGCGACGAAATTCGCAATCGTTATATTCCTCTAAAGGATTACTGTGATCCCGCAGCACATACATGCGAGGATGCAGTAATCTTCATCGGTTTACACGATAACGCATTTCATGCATTCTTCTCAAACTATCCATTATAAACGCAAGGTGCAGGTACAGCAAGCAAGACAGACAGACTGATGGCGCCAACCTCGCTGACGCGCCAAGACACCGGCTTCAGACCACGCTATTTTGAATGAACAAAGCCTGGGAAGCTATATCGTGACGTCTTCACGAGTGTACAAACGCCCTTGAAAGCAAGTACTACGATCTTCCTAGTTATACAACACCGCACAAGCTTTTGCTAGCAAATATTAACAAATGGAAATTGAATAGATTACTCCACGTTAAGTGTATATTCGACGAAACCTGAATTTTACGACACGCGTAAATTACACAATCATATCGAATGCATTAATCTTCATTCAATCAAGCGCATAATATTTCCTAGCAAAATATCTGCTTCTTTTTGGCAGTTCGGTGCAAAATTGTCTGTAATTTGCATCTTTACTCTTCTTGGTAAGAGATTGGGATAAATAATGCTGTCCACGCCAAATTCTCAAATCAATATTTGGTTAATAAATTATTTTGCCGATAAACATATTTAGGGAGAGGATTTTTATGCCCTAAAAAACTTTAAATATGCTTTTATAATTATGCATTTATGAGATATGCAATTAAAATTAACAATATTTCATTTCCTGTAAAAACCTTTCTTGATAAAATGCAGAAGCATTCTTGGAATGAAAAGAGTTATATTGTGCAAACATAACAAAATTTACGCTGTTTTTTTTCTAGGGTGGCCGCTGTGATGCGCAAGTAGGGGGGAAGCAGAAAATGGTGGGGAGGGAGAGCGCAGACGGCGGTTGTTCGCGTTTGGCTCGTCTATCCAAACCGAAAACAGCCTACCGCACGCGTTACTTGGACATTAACGTGCTTTAGTGTCTTCGTTCGGCGGTGGAGAAACACCAAATTCATCTGATGGCGCGGCTCTGCTCGCATCATCTGCATCTTTTCCACTAACACATACCCGTTTCCTCACTATCGTAACATGCATCACTGTCATTACTATTGTTTTGCGCCGTTTTCGGTAAAAAATAACGATTTCGTGATGTGTGTTAAATCATTATGCGGTGAATTACTCATTGAAACCGTCGAGAGTAGATTCCACGCTCTTCCTCTGTTAATTCGGAGTTAAAAATAAACACGATTCTCCCGATTCAATACAATACATTTTGTAATTCAGCAAATAGATATTTTTGAAACACTCATAGCAGCAGCCAAGAACTGCTTTGACATTTCTACACTTTCTTTTGCATCAATAATCACTTAAGCAGAACTTTACGAATCACGTACAAATTCTCCAGTCTAGTACGAAACGCAACTAAGCAAGCTTGTACCTTGCGGATATGAAAAGTCAGGGTCAATGTTTACTCAACTGGAGTAGGGCTGTCAACACGTGCTGGGATGGGACGCAATCCCCCCTGAACCGATAAGTTTGAGGAATGGACTCTTCCGGCAGGTGTGAACCTTGGATCCTCAGAGGCCACGCTAAAATAATACCACTGTACCTTACTTTTCTGGAGAAATAATTGAAGTAAATATGCACCTTAGTATGTCTTATTGCATTTCTTCTGCCGGGTTTAAAAAATATACCAAGAAATATTATGCACTAGTATTTTATAATGTAGAGAAAAGAAAAAAATTCACAGTGAATGTTTCTAATCAGTAAACGCTCTCACATAAATAGTCTATAAGAAGATGAAACGGTTTAGAGATAAGTATATTTTAAAGTAATATGCAAAACATACGCCTGTAATTACATGAATATGCACGAACAGGAAAAATTGGCCAAATATGCACTAAAATGCACTAACATAATCTATATAACATCCAATCCTAACTAAATGTCATGAAATTTCACTTAGCTCCAAAGCCTATGTCCAAGCAACATCTCAACAAATGTACAAAATTAAGTTGACACAACGTTATTTAACTATTTGAAATCAGATCTTTGCAATACATTACACAATTGACTCACAAAATCCAACATTTGTTAATGATGTTTAAAATAAAACTAAAAAAAAATATTTAAAGAACATTCTAGTAACGTTAGCTTTGCTGACAAGAGAAACGTCACAGTCATTTGGATAAACACATTTGCTGACAAACTCTAAAAGGCAATACTAAATCTGCTCGAACTCTATGAATAATCTTGTTCATTCATGGTATAACAACAAATACATGCATTTTCACAAAATAGTTATTTACCATACATGTGGTAAAAGTGGCATTTTATTTTGCGAGCAGGAAAGGTTCTACTCCGTTTTCTAAATCTCGGAGCAGAAAATCTTTATTGACAGTAACCCAACGCGAAATACAGTGACATAATGCCATCGAGAGGTAGAGCCTTGAGAGGCAGAGTTAGAAAATTCGCAGTATAGTAGATGGCGTTGCTTCAGACCTACCCAGCCGATGTTCCGTATATTGGAACCGTAGCTCGAGCGATGGCTCCAATATTGCTGTGAAATATCGTATTGGCAAGCGAAATCGGGGCTTTTCACACTTCTCAGACATCGTTTTAGCAATCGAAATGGTCGATTCCTCACTGCCCTGAGGAAGTCTGTGACATGTCAGGCGAAACGTCGGCTTCTCAGCCAACGACGCGGCGTCTCCCGGATAGCCGAGAATTTATGGATTCCAGCCGCGGAAGGTTACGTGTGATATCGACCCTGAAAGCTTAGACATCCATAGATAAACGATTAGAAGACAATCCGAACAATCTCTTC